GGATACTCGAACTCAAGTGGCGCTGGCGTGGCATTTCGCCAGGCCCTAAACGGTTTGGCACAAAAGTGCTACAGTAAACCGAATCGGATCTCACGATCAACAGGATGCAGGTAAGAGGATGTACGACAGCTTACCTTCTTCGGAGGTTCTCAGGTTTCACAATTATAAAAGTACGCGCTAAGTCTTGCATACGATCTGCAGTACTCCTCAGATCCTTCCTAATTACAAGACGCTTTGAAGAACAAATGAAGCGAAGTAGCCTTGTAAGTGAAACACTATGGCTCTAGCCACACCCCTTCACCCTTCCGTATCCTGAGGACATTGAGCGCTTACAACCCTTCACAGGGACCAACCAGAATGAATTTTTATTCTAAGCCATTCCAAGTCCGGGAGCTGTTAAGGTTCCAGGCCGAACTCGTCTTCATCAACGGTCGTGGAAATGACGCTGGCCGCGTCAACTTGTCCAGTTACCCTTTCGTTACAACATAAAATAAAAAAATAAAGAATGAAATAAAGTGCTGCCCCTCCTTTCGACTTTCGAAGCACCCTTCAGTAAGTTTAAGCCTTCTTCTCTGAAGATCTCATGACTCATGAAAAATACTCACCCATAGCCCGGATCCGACTGTGCAGGTGAGTAGTATCCAGCGGCTACATCTTCTTTGACATCCTGAAATGAACACCTCATTTCATACTAGGTAACGGCACTAGGTAGAGCTGATAACTTTCGAAAAGTAAGCCCATCGGTTTAATAATTGGAACTGGGTTCCCAGTCTTGCTGAGTTCACCTCTTACCTCATCAGCAACGACGCCATAGGCTGCAACTATCACGAAGAGGACAAGACGATGCATGCCGATGAGCTAGCGAACGTTGTTGTTACATGGCTTTTATAAGCGCTGATGAAAAGATTACGGTCGAGGAGGAGGCTGTGACGCATCAGCGCTGCTGTTGCACACTTGTGGGTGTGGGTGTAGAGACTGTGAAAACCTCTAGAGCTAATGATATTAGATTTGACAGCATTACCAACCGATGTTAGATGTTAGTCAAGTGAAGAACTGGAGTTGGGTAAGGATGGCGCAATGGCAGATGATACTGCTATTGCAGTTATGGTCATAGAATCAAATCCAACACTATTCAGCTGAGTTCCTAGAGAGCAAATTAGAAGTAGAAGAAACAAAACTTTGGAAAAAGAAAACACTTCAAAGCACAGATGTTCCCTTGGAGGAATCATCATTGTCTCGCCAACTCCCAAAAACCTTGGCTCGACTGTCATTTAGCGCTCTTGAACAAGTTTCCATACAATCACTACGCTGGTAGCCGACTTGGATAAACGAAAGATTGATCAAATGAATTCGCTCTAAGTGAACATCATCAGGATTTATGCACTGGTAGCAGTGCGAAACAAACATTCGAACTTTATGGTGATGGAAATTTGGCATTCTCAAGTCGATACAGCTTACTCGATCTCGGTCTGATCCCCTGAAGAGAGCACCTTCCCGGAGTTTACTCACATGCTTAAAAAATGGAGATTCGTAAGAGAAGTCTGTCAGGTGAAGTGGGCGACCAAAGACTATAATTCACCACACAGCTCAGTTTTTTTAACGCGGTTCAAAAAAATGCCTGGGATTGCTCTCTTGTTGTACATGCTCCTGAAGCTGCATTTCTTGATTACAGAATAAAACCCATTTTGAGGCCAAGATTTAGTGGGGAACTGGCTGAAACTTTCGGATGCCAATGTATGTCAAGTCATGTAAGGAGGATAATACGCTTCCCATTCCTCTTCCGTTTCGTAATTGGCCTCATAGCAAGCATTGAAGAGAAGTCCGAACAGCCTATGCAATTGTGTCGTGGTTGATAAACTTACCCCTTAATATCTACCGCGCACTGTCGTTCGCCGCAATGAGCGGTTCTCAGGCTGCGGCCTTTCCATCACTGGTTCGCTCCCTTCACTAAAACGATTCTACGTCGCGTCGCCATTTGATTTCAGAGCAAAGGAGCCGAACGGCTCTAACCGCGCTGCTTCACGGCCGCCCCGGCCAGTCTGCAGTGAGAGGCAAGCAATATTAGTGCTTTACCCTTCGGAACAATCCTGATCAGCTTACACTCGGCCAACTCTAGACAAAGACTCATTTAGTGTGTTGAGATACACTAGTGATTTAAATGTTGTTAGCGTGTCTTCCAAGCTACTACAGGCCTCATCATCTGCCAAAAGTTCGAGTGCGGTAACTTTGGCAGGCTGAAACCGAAATGGCATACTCCAGGAGCAGATTTGCCAGTTTGGCTCCGATATGACGTTCCTCCAGTCTAAGTCATAATACAGGTCCACTTTGTGAAGATTCACTCAATTCTTGGGAAGCAGTTTGCTCTTATGCTCGCACTTATTTGCGGCGGCTTTACTTGAGTTTTTGCAGGCCATACCAAAGTGAAACACTGTTATATTAAACAAATGGATCTAACAGAAGGAAGTCCAGCAAAGTGTCTAATGCACCCTCTAAATAGAACCAAATATTGCTGATTACTTTGCTTCTAACTCTGAAAAGCTCTGAAGAAAGCGACTCCGTGAGGACAACAAAAATCATCCAGCATTATTTTGAAGACTTCATTGATAAATATGCAAAGTAGTAGGCCACCAGACGCTACAATAGGTGATGGTTCTAACTATCACAACAAATTCGTTAGATGGAAGAAGAGGGAGAAGCGCAAAAAGGACAGAAAATAAAGAAATTGGAATTCAGGAGACAAGTAATCGTATCCTATTTCCTTTTCATTTTTTTTACCTCAACTTCCTCTTCACCTGGTATACCATCAAAATGCTCCTAACAGTTTCCATCAGTCCGGAAACTTATACTTTCCATGCTGACGAGTTCATTCGCCGTTGGAAGCATCTCCACTAGCATTCCGAGCATTACTTATGTTTTCTCCGTCACCGCATGCCGACAAGAGCCGCAAAGTTTTGCATTATGAAACGCTTATCTGATCTTCGAAGAGCTCGACGACTGTGCATAGTTTCAGCCTGAGAACGCTTTTTGATGAAATGGTGGAAATAGCAAATGAACAGCATAAAAAAGACTAGTTCACCAGAAAAGTTGGAAATGGTCGATCATGGTAATATGGCAAATTACTTTATTGCAAATTGCACCATAATCAATTTTCATCGAGTTTGGACAAGAGTCGTCATTGAGAGCGTTCCTTTCACTCATTTAAGCGAAACTCCATTCATCCATCCAGACGAGTCTAGGCGCAGGTCCATCTCAGCGTCCGCACTACCACAGAGTGAAGTTGCTTTTCATGGTTCCTATTTTAATGACCGACACTCACTGACGTATAGCATCCCAGGCCTTATTATTACCCGGTACACGTTGCCCTTGGGCGTCCTTAAACATCGCCTGTCGCAGAAGATACCACTGGTCTCCCTCCAATTCATCCGCTGCTTTATTTGGGCCTTTCTGCCGAGTCAGCTCTACCGTTGGCGTCTAGATCGCTGTCTAGGTACGGGGAGTTAACCCTTGAATGGCTGGTTTGAATGAACGAGGGGTTTGTCGCGCTCAGTCTTCATCACACTCACCCGGAAGACCATTCTTACACAGTACTTCTTGCCATCTTCATTTGCCCCGAAATTCTTCTTTTGTATCCGCTGTCCGGGCAAGGTCCTCGGCGTAGAGGACGGTCTTGAGTGTAGCCCTTCTGAGCGCCATACTTGAGGCCTAAGTCGGGGACAGTGGTGGTGCAGCACTATTTAGCGCTATTACTACATGGGCTGCACAATCCAACCATCTAGGTCAGGTAGCTTGGTCCACGCTCGTATGCAAGGATGAAAACCCTGTTTTTTTACTTTGGCTTACCCTCGCAAGTCACAGTGTATAGTTCCGAGTCGGTATCCAAAGGCCTCTGGGCTCTGAGGGGATGTAGAACGGGTGGTGCACTCCGAAAAAGAGTTTGGTCAAGAGCTGCACACTTTATCCTTTTATAACTCAAAAATTGGCTTTTTTTGATGTAATGAAACTGTATGAATTCAGATGAAGCGAAATGGGAAAAAGATAACGCCAGTAAAGTTGGAGGTGAATGTGACGAAAAACTGCGTGAGCGCTGGTACACGAGCAATTCTCTCGGTTGCACCTGAACTGTTTAGCAGTTTTTAAGTGTGAAACACTGTTTTTAAGCAGTGCGAAACGGAAACTAAGCTACTTCTTTGAGTCACCCCCCACCCCTCAAATTGTAAAGTTTTACTCAAATTTTACTAAAATCTATTATTTAAACAGTTTGAAGTTGTTTAGCCGAGTGATCGAGCTGGTTTATTTTGATTTACAAATACATATTCATCACGGCTGCTCTGTCCACGTTTCAGTGAAAGCCCCGTCCAACTTCTCTTACCCTTCTGTCCACTCTCCAAGTCTAGGTTAGCTGACTACCAGAGCATTATTGACATTTTCAAGTACTACTGTAAGGGCATCTCGGACCATGCTTGTTGCCGGCCGGGTCGTTGTCATACCCGGCACAGTGTCACATCGGACAAAGATGTTTTTGCTGTTCGACATTTGCCTCTGCTCCACTATCAGCAGCTGAGATCTCGTCTATGATCGGCTCTCTGCCGATGATAGCACTATTTCCTAAGCAATTGGCTTTGCTCTCTTCATTTCCACTGTTCATACTGTCTCTACATTCGTATAAAAGCACCCTTGCGCATTCTCTACAGGCATCTCGGCAGCGAATCATGCAGTGGCTGATTCTAGCCTCCTTCTGCATCTTCTCCTGTCTCGCCAACGAGGTTAGTTCTTTTCTTTCATATCGTAATGGATTGGCTTGAAGCACAAAGTTTTCTCTTCTTTCTTATGGTAAATTTCTTTCTTTTGATTGCAGCCTACAGGCCAGGGTTTAAAGCAATCCGATTGGAAAGGTTTTAGGGATGTAAGGGCCTCTCTCTAGAAAGGACTGTAGTGTGATATTAACTAAAATCACCCTCGCTCGCACATTTCGTAGAGACCCTTGAAAAGTTGACAAATGATGATTTCAGAAAGGCTTAAAACTTTTGAAATGACAGCATCCTCTAGTAAAGGTGGCATATACCAGGGGCATATGCGTGACCGGTTCTTTTGGAAGGAACAAAAAAGTAAGGATAAAGTAAGGATAACGGATAGCAATAAGGACAGGTTACTCATCCCTTATTTAGGATGTGACACGCATTCTACTCCATTCAGAATGCATCCAGGATAGTAACGGTTTATTGAAAGCGAGGTGGGCAAAACAGTAACTTACGGGGCCAATCGATGAAGAAGTCAGTGTCCTTATCCTCCCGAGCGAACATGGTACTTATTTACCGTCGCCGGATAGTAGAAGGCTCACTGGGTTCGAGTAGGAGCCGACCCGGGATTAATCTCTGTATCAGCGTGCTAAGCGTGCCGCTGCCACTACACCACTCGTCCGAAATGGGCGCGATGGGATAGGCGAAAATAAGAGCCAGATGTCTTAGTTAAGGCAGCAGTAAAGGATGTAGCGAAATTTTCTCGCTGTGCTCCTCCTCATTCTGAGCTGCTGTTCACCCAACTGGTAGCGTGCTGAGTAGTTAGCGGGGCAAAAATGAGGCCACTTTGAAGTTTGAAGCCGCTTTGAAATTGTGTCGCTCGCAATCGTAACTGAAGGATGAAGTATAGGGTCTTTGCCTTGATCAATCCCTTTTGGGAATGCGGCACGCATGATACTTCCATTCCGGATTGCAAACGCGGTACACATAATACTACCATTCCTGAATGCAGTGGTTCATTGATTGACCAGCCGATGTACAAGTCAATGTTTCATCTTCCCAGACTAATCGGGTACCATTTTACCGTCCCGGATTGTAGAAGGCCAGGTTGACCGGGAGACCATCCAGGTTGGCCCCCGCTCAGTCCGTATCGCGCTCGTGGTGAGCGGTCACGTGCCATACACCACCTCCGCCTTAATCGTAGCATAAAGAGGTATTTTCTTCTGGTTACCGTTCGGACAACCCAGTAGTGCCTCCAGAGAAAAAGCTGATACAGCGTTAGGTCAGGCCAACCAGTGTTCGTCTCTATATCCAGGGACGATCTGAATATTCTGAGCATCTTTTCTGCCTCCAAGCTCTTGCAAGAAGTCCTATGAGAGAAGTCGTCGTTGGAGACTCTTACCAGATTCCCTCCGTCCCCGAAGAAATGCTTAAATCTACATGAGTTGACCAGTTTCAGATAAAAAACGCTACTGCTAAAGGTTCGTACGGTAGTTACGATCAGCCAAGCTACTCTCCACCCAGCTATGATCAGGGATACGGTAATGCTCCATACGGACCGTACATGGCCTATCAGTACATGTCACCGCCACCACCACCACTGGTAGACCGTGAGTCTTATCTTCTCATGGTAATGGGACTCTGACACAACTTTGCACTTGGTCCTAAAGCTATCATCGCTCTTGATCTGGTCTACTTTTCAGGCGACGTCTGTGATTTGGACGCTTCTGTACTGCTCGTGGTGCACAGCCGTCGAACTCATCGTGATCGTCACCATCCTCCGGGTCATCCTCCGATGAACCGCGCTCATCGAGTCAGGTAGGGGATAAACATGGGATCTTTGGCTGAAAATATGGGCAGGATCGTATCCGAATGCAGCAGCGAAGAGTCTTCGTGCTGAATAGGAAATTTTTTCATCTTCATGATGTTCCTTGTCGTTCTTATCCGCTGGTAGCTTAACTGGTAACGTGGGTCTTGAGCTGAGTGGCTAGCGGGGCAGAGAAGAGGGTGCTTGCGCTGAGGAGAGATTTTTAGCGTTCGAAGCTCTCTTTATTGCAGCATAGAAAAATGGAAAAACGTTGGCTGCTCTCCTCTGACTGGTTGGTTTCTGGGGTGAACCTTTCACGAGCTCACCTATTCTTCTTCAGGTGCTCCGTCATCGCAAACTACGACGAGGACTCCTGCAACGCTTGCTGTCAGCATGCCGCACGTCGTGACAAGAGCATGCCAAACGTACGGCCACTTTGCTAAGCTCTACCCTTTTGAAACCTAGGGACCTCTCTTGTACTATCTGACACACTCTCACCGATCTCCTGTTTCAATCCTTGACCCCTTCCAGCCTTTCATTTCGTCTCACGTCTAGGGTACTGACATTGAATGAGTTGTCATGCAGACCATTTAATTTCGTACCCTGGACGTTATTCGAATCGCCCTGACCTTTCTTTGCTCCTCTGGAGCTTTCACCATCGCGGTCGAAAGCTTCTGCTTCATCCGATTAGGGCCAAATCTGGCCTATCAGCGACTGCAATTGGAACAGAGTACTTAGCTCTCGTTAATTGTAAAAAGGAAAAATTGACTGAAAATGCTTTTTCCTGAGCGGATACTTGTTCTACAGTAGCCTGCCTTCTATTCTGGTCTTATGCCAATGGCTTGTATCCCTGTCCTATCCCCCACTACCCTGTTCCTTCTATCTTTTTACTCTATTTTTTGTCTATCTCTCATCCATTTATTATTGTTTGCTCCTATATTTTGAAATTCATCTGCGTTAGTGGTTACACCTTTTCTGCGGTGCACATAGTCTTGTTCGCTGAGGCGCTTCAGCGGGCTGGGTTTGGCGCAGCTCAGCCAGTTTTCTACCAATAGTTGTTACCTGGCAGCTCCCACGGTTGGTGAAGAACGGGCCGACGCCACGCCAAACTCAGCCCCACTGAAGCGCCCCAAGGTCTGCAGCGAACAGGACTGTGGCTTTTTCAGTCTGCCTTCGTCGGATTCCTCGCTGTCACTGACGATTTCGAAGGCCGACGTGACGACAGCCGCGAGCGCGACCATGACTTCTCCGACGAGGATATGGGCCACGTGAGCGACGTTATTTTGATCAATATTTCATTGAAAATAACTCCTTCAGTGATTCTACCTTTTCTTATTGCAGGCTCGTGTTAAACGCTCACACCCTCACTCTACGAAGGTGAACTACGTCAAGCTTCATGAGGTGAGTATACCCTAATAAGGCAAAGAGATGCGGCCAGGAGATTCACGGTGCGGCAACGCGCATACACTGGTATTCACTAGCCAGCTGACTCCACTGATGGACCACTTTCACGTCAATTCTATGGGATAATCCTGCGAATGCCACTGACCGCCTTGCCGCGCTGCTTCCACCGCGAAGCTGTATCGGGGACAGGCAGGGTATCCCCAGCAAGGGGGTCGTATTCGGTCGCTGGATGGTGCAAGGAAGGGGGGACCGCGCTTGACACTGTGTAAAAATATTCTCGGTTATTGGCTTTTCTGGTTTTTAATGATTTTTTCGTCTCACGTGCGCTGTAGCCCCCTCTCCCTCCGTGGTAGTTTCCAGGGAAAAACGAGAGAAGGGCCGTGTTGAGGTTGCGGGACCTACGGGCTATTTAAGTCTACGAGGGAAGGTTAGAACGTTTCTAAAGTGAAGAGAAAATTTCCTATTTGTGAGATCATTTTTCCATTTTTCCATGCATGCCTATCTAATCACCTTCCTCTCGCCCCTATCCAACTGTGAATGGCAGTCGGTAGCAGCGGTAGGTTATTCGGGGAGGGGTTTGCACCTACCAAAATTTCACGTACGTGCATGTTCTGTGAGCCCCCCCTGAGTTGAGACCCGTAGCAAGCTTTTTTCTCTTCCTAAAAACTGTGAAAAGGTAGTACAGTGTATAATCGCAGGTGAGTCGGGAGATCAGAATGGCGGTGTCTGACCCAGATAACTACAGTTGATATCGTCTCAATTCACTCAGGGCGATGTCAGGAACCTAGAAAAGCTCACCCGTGACGTTTCTACAACCGCTTATCCTCCTGAGTCTCGATCACATAACTGATCACTTGGTAAGAAAAAGCCAGCCGGGTGGTCCACTCCATCTTTCCCGACACCATTTCGACTAATTGCGACGATATCAGCTATAAATCACAGCCCTTCCTATATAACGCATGTTCCTATTCATGGCCCATATTGCACCTCCCAAGCCCCTTTTCCTATCCTTTTCTAGAGCTGGTTTACTTCCAACTCTTGAGTCCACGAATACACTTGAACTGAGCAATTTCTCTAATTGGCACTTTTTCAGCAAGACTTCGCGCCAAAACCGTACTACAAGAACGTGAAGTGCGTCTGCTGTGCTCCGAAGAGAAGTCTTCCACCACCACCACGAGTCTATCCAGCACAGCCACTCTACGGACAACCTGTCGCTTCTCAGCCCACCTACCAACAGCCAGTAGTTTCACCGCCTGTCTACCAACAGCCAGTGGCTTCACCGCCTGTCTACCAACAGCCAGTGGCTTCACCGCCTGTCTACCAACAGCCAGCTGCCTCCCAGTCAACCTATCAACCTGTAGGTCCTCCCGCTCAGGCACCACCTACTCAGGCACCTGCTGTAGAATACCCAACTGCACCTACGGCACAGGCTCCTCCTCAGTCTGGCTACCAGCAAGCGGCACCACCAGCTCAGAATCCCGTTCCCTCACCGTACTGAACCTGTCCGTTCACTGATGTGATTGGCTGTTTATATAATATATAGCGAATAAAATGTATGAACTCTTTATTGATCACTGTCGAATTTGAAAACAGAGAGCTATTTGGTGGGGCAAGCAAATGAAATTCGGAGCGCGGTCCGGCAACGAGGGGGCATTTTGAATTTTCGCCGGCAACGAGGGGGCATTTTGAATTTTCGCTGCTTCAGTAGTTCCAATTTGCAAACCTCAGACTGGAGAAACCTGTGAAGTCTTGTGAAGCTGGAACAAGCACCACCATCAAGAAATCAAGCACCAGTCGAACCACCATCGAAAAACCTGTGAACTCTTCTGGGCCCATGAAATGGCTCTCTAGATGGGTCAACACGTCGAGAGTGCAGACTGCCCCCCCCCCCTCCCGTCGCCGAAGTGCCTCCAATTTGAACGTTATCGATAGAGAAGATAGTCGCAAAGGTTACAAGTATGGTGGCCATGAAGAAACCAGGCTGGTCTTTTTTTTCTGAGATTCGTGATATTTGAAGGCACTGGTTCGGCTTGGAAAGGACAATATGCACTTTCGCTAGTTCCTTTTGATAGTTCATGTGAATTGACAAGTTACACCTTGGTGAGACCTCTGAATGTCTGTGATGCAGCGAAACAAAATTACGGAGAGCCATTTTTCTGACAGAACTTTACAGGTCTCAACAATGTGATCTGAACAGGCTCTCTGAGCACCTTGTGATGCCCCCACCAAAATGCACAGAACCTACAACGCTGCCTGTACGGAGCGGACAACAGGATCACGTTTTCCTCATTGCTGTGCCCCTCCGTCTTCCAGGGACGGACCGATCGTTCAGAAGGTGTGCACCGAGTCCATGTGGGTCCGCTCTAACGAACAGTATTGAAATGTCCTTTCTGATTGCAAAGCTTAGCTGACTTGAAAAGTGGTCAGAAATCGATCTCACTTGAGTAATTCCTGAGGACCCTTGCAATCTGTTTACTGTCCTACAAATTTCCTGTCTGATTAGCAGAAGTTATGGTGGCACGGGGTGTGACGTAACGTAACAGTTCGCTCTTCACAGTTTCCAACAAGAATCCGCATCGACTTCCAGTATTGAACTTGGAAAACAAATGAAGAGGCATCTAATAGTGTGGGTACAGCAATGTTGTATGAAACGCATAGGGGGGTCAAACTTTCGCGCGAAGCAGCGCCGCGTACATGGTCGTTGTTGGGAGGTCGTGTGTGCCTTCAAGAGAAATTTGCTGTGTTGGGAACGATTTCTCGATGGGAAGTAGCCAATGTGGAAAACGTCCCAACTTACGAAAAGGCGCTCTAGATTCGTCGACACGTTGACGGGAAGGGAGGGGCATTGTGCTTTTTTTCCTGCTTCAGATTCGATTGATTGTGGTGAAACCTGTGCACACTTGGAGCAAGCCTCCGGTAAATCCTGTAGAACTTACGAGACAAGATGACCGCTCTACGACTTCGTCGACAATGCTGGCTGTTTGACTTTATCGTGATTCGGTGATAATTTTTCTGCTTCATCTGTTATACGTAACCCCCTTGCCGCTCCACCAGCGCGGAGAAAGAAAATTTTTGGCTGAAAATTGGAGAAACAAGAAATACACAACCCATTGGGAATGAATACACTCCACAGCAACAGATCTGATCCGGTTTTTCGCCCCGCTGTCGTAAAACTGGAAATAGGTGGCGAGGTTAGTCAGGTAAGCGCTTGGAGAAGTCGTAGTGACACCCTCCTTTCGGAGCGGTTCCCCCATTCCACACATCACAATGCTGTACCCTGTCTATAGACGCAAATAGAATGTTGCAGATGATCGAGGTGAAATATTAATGTTTTTGCGGGCTAAAGCATAACGTATCCTAGAAAGATTCGTTCTCAGAATAGCCGATAATTTTGACCAACATCGTGGCCCAGAAGTGAATTCCTTTTCCGATACCATAGAACTGTATTCATGACAGTATAAGTTTTCTCGCAAAGCGATTCTGTAAAGAGATCATTGTCCTCGTTGATGTTAATTAGATTAAGGCATATCACACGCCCGGCTGATTTAGTAATACCTCTTCTTGAACAGTTTTACATTACTTGTTAAGATCTTCTTGGTTGATCTTGATCTCTATGCAGAACGTGCTGTTGCTGTTTGGTCGCTCAGCAAAAGCATGCTGGCCCACACACTTTTGCTCGGAAGATAACAAAAATGGTGATAACGACGTCATGGTGTTATTTACCATGATGTTTGGGAGGACTGACAAAATACAGTAACTGGGTAATCAGTGGTAATCAGTCAGCTGAGAACCGAACCTCAGCTGCTTCTCTGTTGGGTTCCTTCGTGAGCAACTTCTCTTGGTTATTCTGTCCAGGATCGTGTTTCGTGAATAAACGCTGTCGAAAATTCTCGAATTCCCCCTCCCTCTCCCAGCTCCTATTTTCTTCTTCTGGTTTGGACCCTCCCCATTCCTATTCTACCTTCCATCTATCTGTTTTCCCAACTTTCTACTGCTTTCCCTAGCTTCCAGAAATATTGCAGATTTCACCCAATAAAGCTGCGTCGAATTGGGGGTGAGGGGGAGGGGTGGGTGTAGAATCGTTATCAATCGGATACTAGTTTCAAGACCAGAAATAGTAGTTGTAAGCAGTTGCACGTCCCATTGATGGGTGGGCGTGACGACGGGCTTTACTTGAACACGGCGTAGGATATGTTTTGAGTGGAATATCTCCATGGATACAAGTCTTTCCCTATCTTGTACTGAACAAAGTCATATTTGCAAATATTCTAGAGGTTCAGAATCCTTCTGGAAGCGTGAATACCGTTACGTTCGATTGGAGTAGCAGCCAAGCAATACCTGTACCGGTGCGGGCTAGCTAAAGGGAGGTGATTCTTGCAGCTAAAGGGAGGTGGATTCCATGCATGGAACGAAAAAAAGGTGAAAAGTCCACTACTAGAGAAAATTTCTCGCGGCTAGGGGGAAATTTTCCGCAAAGGCTCAGATGACTATCCTCCCCGGCCACGACTACAATCCACAATCCCCCTCCTCCCGTTGGGAGAATGGGGTTCTCCCAACGGTGCTGCACCCTGATTCTTTCTTCTTTGGAGCTTAAATTCATGAGATCGCTCAGCTTGAATTCAGAGATCGTTCGAATATCCTTGGTAATTCCTCTTCTTTAGTTTGCTGTCAGATTGTACTACTTTTGAATGGATGTATGAATTTTAGGTTGTTTTGTAAAAAACAGGTTTGAATATTGATATTTCGATATTGGAAAGTGGACCTGAAACCATTACTTACACCCTATTTCACTCGTGAGAATCCCTGATCAAGCTCTTCGAGAATCGCTTAGGGATAGCCATCGCTCCAAGTGAACTTTACAATTGTCGATAAATGGATAAAAGCTACAGCCAGCGGTTTAAAGGGACGGCGCGGGTATAGAGGCTGAAAATATGGCATTGGAAGGGTAGTGTGGTCCGCGATGAGCAACCTCAGACCAGTTTCGCGACGAAAAACCGTGGGGAGGTCGTTATAGCGCGCTATAGGTTCAGTGACGCCTCCTTTTTTCCAGTGACTCCGCCTCCAGACTCCGCCTTCAAGGCTCGCCTTTCAGTGAAAAAACGAAGCTGCAGGACGAAAAAGCATGAAAATCGTCACTTGTACGTAGAGTTCTTATCGGGGAATCAGCTGTGCGGATGAGGGCGTAGTGTTGGAGATGGAGTTAATTGGGCACGTACAAACTGGGATCGAAATGGGGTTCTATCTAGGGCAGTTGGCATGTTTTTTGTGCTTTTCTTTACTATCGAATTACTCAACACCTTGTCGTCTATTGCAAACCCCTAATCCTTTATCTGTGATGTCGAATAATCGCGGGATTTGCCTTCAACGTGAAGAATAGAAAAGAGGGATCATCCTCTGATGGAATAGTAAGCTACAAAGAGCCATTACGAGTTATCGCAGTTCATTGACAGACTCTTTTCAGCCAACTCGTATCAACTACTTGTAGTGTAATGGTGAGGCATAGCCTCATAGAAAAGGTGAGATCCAGGTTCGAGTTCAG